AACTTTGAAAGGAACCACCGTGGCAATTTTAATAAATAATGTCCTCACCGATTTGCAGTTTCATCGAGTAAAATACATATAATATACTCAACCGCTGTTTTAGATTACTATAATCCGATTGTTTTGTTCCGTCACAGCGGAAAGAGTACAAGAAAAATTTGGATTAAATCTAACTAAATATTCAGACAAAATTTTCGGATTTTGTTGAAGCACAGATTCCGCCTAAAGTAAAATAAAGATAATTGGGCCCCTCCCCCTTGCATTTTATATTCCGCTTATTTTTATCAGTTTAATAAAGCGAAAATCATTTCTTGAGTACGTTAAAAGATAACAATTTTCGAATTAAATAGAGAAGTATTCATTTTGCAATTCAACACGCAACTGTTTCATAATTCATATTTCACAATAGTGCTTCTGCATACCACCAAAGTGTAGTGTCGGCCACTTTCTTTGCTCCCTCTTTTATCCCCGAAAACTGCATGATTTTTAAAACGTCCCCCTGATTTCTAAACGGTTCAAGATATACATAAAAGGATTAGGTACATCGAAGATCAATCGTAGGAAGAAAAGTGTCCGTCGGTCTATCCAGGCATGCGAGAGTCCATCGTGCGTGCGGCGCGCACGGTACATCGTCGGGGACGAAGGATACAAGGGTAGAAGAGGAGACGGGGAGGAACCCGGCCGGTGAGAAGAAAAGAGAGAGGGAGAGAGAGAAAGAGAAGGTTGAGCTCGAGCCTGAAATGCGTGGGCGAGTGTGAGCTTGTGTCGCGCGAGTCACCACTCTCGGTTGCCCCGAGCGTCCCGCCGTCCGTCATCCTGTCCGCCCGTCCGTATTTCGTAGCGCACGCACACGCGCCCGTCGCACGCGTGCACGTACACGGCCATGCGCGCGTGCTTGCGCGCGTGCACGCACGGCTCATCGCGCATCAGCGTTCCGCCAATCACGCGCGGCGCGGGCCCCGGCCGCGCAAATGAGCCGCGCTTTTTGGCCAGTCAAAGTGTCACACATGGCCGACGGCCGTATATCGCGATTTACGTGTTTGTTTCCTGTACGTACGTTGACGTTGTTTTACAATCAGGAGACTTCAGGCACGGGTGCTTTTAACGTCGGTACTTTCTGTTGCTCAAAAAACAGCAACTATGACGTTGCAATTGAAAGTATTGTACTCGTAAGATCGTTCACGATTCGACTATGCCAATTATAAAGCCTTATTGTATTCACGAAACTAGAAATTAGAGAAAGAGAAATCTCGGTCGAAAGAACTCGATCAATTGATTAATTGCATTGATCAATTGGTCGAATTGTTAATTAAATGTGATTTGTCAATTCTTTCTCCGTCCCAGATCTCGGAGCGATTTGTAGCATATCGTACGTGAACACAAGGCTTAACAAAGTATATTCGATATTAGATCTAGATCGCAAAATAATCTTCTTACATTTTACTTAGCACCTCGCGATTTTGAGTTTAATGCCAGTTACCCTAATAACGCGGTAAAAAAACGATTCAAGTCACGTTGAGAGCCGAGAGTGATAACCGGCGCGACGCGACGCAGCGGAGGCCGCGTGGTCGCGCGTCAGTGCGTTCACCGCCGCGCCACGCCGGCACGTTATAAATGCCCGTGGCGCGGCTGTTAAGCGATACACGCCTGCGGTATCGCGGGTGGCCCCCGCCTTTCGCGCAACCATTCGCCGATCGTATAGTATCGGTAAGTACAACTTCGTTCTCTCCCGCGTATGGAGATGTTAATACCCCGGTGCGTATGACCTCTTCTTTCGCAAAAAGCTCACGCATACTGGCGCACGTGCCGGCCGACGCGCTTCGTGCACGGCGGATCTCGCGACTGGGTCGATCCTCTTTCGATACACGCGATCGCGCGGCACGGCACGGCGCGAGTTGATGATGACGATATCTCTCGCCGAGCGGGTATAAATTTACGATTTACGCGGGACGCTCGATTTCAATTTGCATAAGTAGTAAATACTTGCCGGGATTGAGTTACGCAACGAGTAGCACAAACCCCGTTTCGGCTGCGCAAACGCCTGAAAATTATTCGTGGGAGAGGGGGATGAGAATATCACATTGTGCAACGTGAAGCCCCCGGGATTAATGACCGCGGCTATAAGGATCGGCGGTTCTTTTTATGATAATCGCGGATGAAATCGATATAACTGGTACTACGCAGTCGTAATAATGTAATCGTTTTACTGCTGGATCGTTTTTCGGAAAAATCATCGAAGCCAACGTGGGATAATCGCTTCTTGTTGCTACGGAAAATATTCCCATGTTATTGCGTTATAATACCTAAATTTCTCTTTAATTTATTAGTCATATAATGTTGTTATGGCATTTAGAGATTTAACATCTGAGAACAAAATATAAAGAACTGACAATAATTTAATTCATATTTAATAAAAATCCATTTTTTAATTCAACACTAAAAAAAGTTAGTAGTACCTAGATAGTAAAACGTTAATTATTTGTCAGTTTCTAAATAAAATTGCAAGAAATATAATAATTTGGTGTGGCACCAATATAAAGAATCAGACATCGTAAGGTTGTGGCATTTTTTCGGTCGCGCCGCGATACAAACAAACCGAAACGGTAAACGGCGGATCAATCACATTGTACAAATTGTCAGCAGCGCGTAACATTGCGGAGCCTAATCTTCACGATCAAATTTATCCGCAAGATGGAAAGCGACGGGGCAACGTGTGAGGGGAAAGAAAATGAAATAGCGCGGCACGATCGCGTTATCGACGCTTCGTCGACTCCTTAAATCAGCGAAGGTAGGTAGGCAGACCGAGGGGTGAAGCGTGTAAGTGGGAATGGATGAGAGAATACTCCTTTCCTTTCCTTTTCCCCCTCGGTTCCTTTCTTTTTTTCTCTCCGCTCTGTGACGAAGAGGGGACACGCGCATGCAGATCACGTCGGTTGTAGCCAAGTGATAGCGTATCTGTGGGCGGCGCGTGCGTGTGGTCCTTCTATGTCCCCTCGGTTCCCCTCCTTACTCTCGGTTCCTTCCTCGCTTCCACCATACTTGAAGATATCCTTTTCTCCATTCCGAATCATCGCGAGAGCGCTACATCCACTTAACAATCACCCCCGCTTGTAATTTTGCACGTCAGCTTGTCGATATAATAAATAATTGGCCGGGAAAGTCCGGCGATTGCTTCCATCCTCATTATGATACGATCGTTTTAATTAGAAATGTGTGTCGTCCAGGCTGACAGTTCATATCTGTAAGGTAATCATAAACTCGCCCACGTAGCCACTCTATATCGTATCGTATAACCGTTAAATTCTGTAATCTTCTCCGGCGCGATATTTTTCTTGGATAACGAAAAAGGTGATATGATGATATATCATCTGTGCGCAAATTATTATGCGGACGCTTTTGAAATAATTTCTGTTAATCGTTTATGGATGCGTAATAATTGGCCTGGAGCAAACGTGATTTTCGATAATGTAAGATTTCACAGAATTCACACAGATTTTAGGACATGCATAAAATGATATACTTTATTTGACCTGGTATAAGTATCGCGATATTTTTTTATCTTTGGCACGATTCTAATAAAATATTGTGTGCGTCCAAGGCTTCCTTCATTTTGCTTCAAATTAGACTCATTCTTGATAATATTGACTCCGTTTATCTTTATTGTCATTTTCGACGCGTCAAATATGGCCTTTATACGCGCGCAAGTTAAGAGGGGACCCCGCAGGGTCAAGTGTGATGGTTACTATCGAGGTTTCTGATGGCGCGACGCAGAAGTCTTCGAGTTTCTGCCAGCGCGCGGGACTAAACGATACTTCGAACGAACGTGACACAAAGACTCCCATCGAGAAGTCATTCCGGTCGCTTCCAGCATCCAGAACCTCGCTGTCCCCGGCGGCGCGGCGCGGCACGGCGCGGCGTCTCCCGCGCGCTTCTCTCCTCTTCGTCTTCGTAACTCCCATATGTATATCCCCGTCGCCGTAAACACGATTTTGCCAACACGGGGTTTTGCGGTAAAACGACGGGCCGTAATTCGCGGTAAAACGTCCGCCGGTAAGAATTTATGAAAGCTCGCCCGGGAGTCCGGGTTTACGTGCGCATATACACGGGCGAGAGCGTTAGCCGCGTACACGCGGCTCCATTCGAGACGACGCGACGAGCGGCAGTCGACCGGTCGCACAGGATTCTCCTTATCGACGCGAAGGAGGCCCGTCTTTGGACACTATCGAGATCCGAAATAGCGTCGTTGGGGCCCACCTCTCTTCCACCCTTCCCGGCACCCTTGGAGAAAAGAAACGTAACTCTAGACGTATCGCGGTGTCATGTCCTGCGCACCTGGCGGCCCCGTTCTTTGTAACACAATACACGCGTTTCGTCCTCCTGCTCCTCCTCCTCTTTAACTTCTCCTCTGCTTACCGTACTCTTTTGTCTCTTCTTCTCTCCGGCCCGTCATCAGCTTATACCTAGCCTGGATATGTGGAACGGATAAAAAAGGAGGAGGCAAAAATCCTGGTTTAATACCAGGGGGATTGGAATTTTCGGTCGAGCTGACGTACTCCCTCGGCGAACCTGTTTAAGTGAACACTCCATAACGTCTGATATATCTAGGAGTCGCACACATGAGGATTTAGACAGTTAAAATATTTCGCGACTACAAGCAGAGAGGACTGTTTTGCGTGTAATAAATTAAACGTCTGTCGCACGCTGGTGCTTCTGAGAAGCTAAAAAATTTTTGAGGAATTAAATGAAACCGATGCTATTAATAAACAAATCTGATGATATTTTCCGCCCAAATTAATTTTTTATATATTTTTTGCGTTAAATTTTTATTCGGAAGTCTTGAATAAAAACGTTTTACTTATATAGGAACCGGAATATTTCCAATTAGATCTAATTTGATTTGTCTATCATTTTGCTGCGCAAGAGGCGAGGGAGGTTGAGTAAGGGTGCAGACGACTGTGAGTTAAAAAATAATAATAAATGTTTATTTTACACATGTGAACGACACAGAACACAACGGACACGTACAGTAGGTACACCGTTTAAAAATGGAGACAACTACATCTTATTCAAGAGAGAAGAAGGTACCTACTGCGTATCGCATACATAAAATTACAGATCTAAACATGCACGAATCCGTATAATTCTTATCGTGATGTACATAACAATGATTACGCTCTAAACGTTAACGATGATAGATAGTGCAGGCAGATAGATACGATGTGAGTCGGGGACTCAATAGGCGCAAGAGATCCAAATCCTGACCGTACCAGTAGACCACGGATCGTGGCTCAAATACGACGCGATCGAATCGACCGTCGGAGTCGATCGCACGTTGAAGTCAAGACTGCGGTGTTATAATAAATGGATGTCGATCCGCGCATAGTTGGACGAAAGCGCGCGTGATACAAACAAGATTTTGTCCGGATGATCGAAAGGAAGAGAATCGATATCCATGCATTAAGACGTCTCCTGAAGAACAATGGTGCTCGAGCCGGAAACCGGTATCACCGATGGCGGTGGCGACGACGGTACTCCCAGATTGTGAGTCAACGAGTGTCTCCTCAGATCACAATTTCTGCGAAAAACCTTGCCGCAGGAGGCGCAATGATAAGGCTTGATATCCGTGTGCGTAAGAAGATGAGTTTTCAGATTGCTCCTCTGATTGAAACTCCTGGCACAGACGGGACATTTGTGCGGCGACTCCTCCATATGTAAAATTTTGTGGACAGCCAGTGTCCTGCTCTGGCAAAATCCTTTGCCGCACTCGGCGCATTTAAACGGTTTCTCTTTGCTGTGTATATACCTGCAATATATAAAAAAAGCTTCCAGTTTGAATCTTACGTTTAAATTTCTTTTGAAACTACCTGCTCAAACGTGTCTGTTTCTTTTTTATGTAAAAGTGCGTAAAACCATAATTTGTAAAATTATAGTCGCGCGACGAGATATATACGTAATGTTCGACACTAAAAAAAATGAAAGGAGAGAAAAATAAAATAATCATCGAGTAATATATTATTAACTTAATTAACATTATTATCAAATAAGGACCGCAATTATTGCAACGGTAAATATATGAATGAATGAATGGATCATGACACGTTGACCATTAAATATAATATACACGTCATTCAATCATCGTTGTAATTACGCGAGGTGAAAAAGGCGTACCATGAATTTGTCCGTTCGTAAATCGTACGACGCTTGTAATTAATGGCGACGCGATAAAGAGATAAATACGCGCGGTCTCTAAATCTTCCATCACGAAGGGAATGAATTCGGTAAATAATCCTAACCATCATCAAAGCTTTTTGTGCACTTAACGTTTAAATCAATTTTCTGCGTAACGTATCATTACAACGCTTATCTCTCTTGCATGTTATAAATAAATTCTACTAAAATGATTATTTTAATCATGTGCGATCGAAAATATTACAACGGCGTAACTTGAAACTTATTGTTAATAATTCAAAATATAAATTACATTCACTCATAAACGCATGCTAATGTGCACATCCCCTTCATAATACAAGCATCTATGTATATTGTATAAATGTAGTGAAAAATTAACGGTATAAAAAGTATTATAAATTAAAATATAATTTCGAACAAAAAGAGTAATGTTCATAATTCCATATTTTTATTATGCATTAATTATAATTACCGTTTTATCAACTTTGAAACGAACTTTAAACCGAAAACTCATAATTTACATAATGAATTCAATTAATGTTCTCTATTTAATCAATTAAGTTACTTCAGACACTTAACAGGTAAAACCTGCGCGTGTACCTAATGCTTTCATAAAGAAAGATCTAATCGGAAGACTAACGTCTCCCAGATGACTAGGGCCTATTCACGTTACCTGTGATCTCTGAGATGATCCTGCCGTCGGAAGGCTTTGCCACATATATCGCACGAGTACGGCCGCTCGTCGGTATGCGTCCTCTCGTGGATCAACAGATTGTAGCTCTTCGTGAATTGCCGGCTGCAGAACTTACAAATGAACTGTTTCTTGGGTCGGGACGTACGGCAAGTTCTTGGTACACTCGAGTCGATCGCGATCGAAGCGTGTTGCACGGACGAGGAGGAGGACGACGAGGTGGACGAGGTCGAGGAGCAACCCGAGGAACTCGACGACGCGAAAGACGTCGGAGCCGTCAAAGACGATGATCGCGAGACCGTCGTCACCGACGTACTCGCGCGATTCCCTTCGGATATTCGCCGTAGAAGCAGCTCGTGGTTCGCGGTAGAGGAGCTCGTTCCGGACGTCTCGCTCAGCAGGACTTCCTCCTCCTCCGTGAGCAGCGCCAGGTCCTCTTCGGTATCGGTCACGAACTCCAACCGTGCCTCGTCGTCCTCGCTTATCGCCGAAGCGGCCGATCGGAGCAGCTGATCCGCCGTTAGGTGGTCATTCTTGATGGCTGTCGGACTCAGGGCCACGTCGACATTCGTGTTCAACGACGAACATCTCTGATTACCAGCGACGGTCGCGGTAGCGCCCGCGGTCTGCGCGACACCGGAAGTCGCGCCGCTCGCATGAAGACGATGAAGCGTCAAGTACGTCTCCAGGGCCTGCAGATTAAACGCCGCCGCGGCGGCGTGTCCCGGCGGCAGGAGCGCCGCCCGCTGCAGGGCAGAGAGGAGGGCACCCTGAAGCCGCAGGGCGACACTCTGCAGCGCCAAATTGGGCAATTCGGAGGCCGTAGCGAGACCGGTGATATCGATCTCGCGCGAGTCCGCGGCGACCGTGACCGACGAGGTCGACGACGAAGACGAAGTGGACGGCACCATTACGAGGGTCCGTTGTTCCTGCTCCGGTTCCTGATGCTGTTCTTCCTCCTGCTGCGGTTGCTGCTGCTGCTGCTGTTGCTGCATCCTCCACCGTCGTTTGAATCGTCCCGGATTATCCTCTGGAACGCGCACCTGCCGTGTTTCGCCGGTATCATTGGCAAGGCGATCGGAAATTCCTGATTTGTCCTGACCGTTCCTGATGAGTATTGTAACTGTGGATGCGCGCCGGTGTTCCTCCCGGTATCCCGGTAGTCTCCCGTGTGATTCACCCTTGCACGACGCTGCCGAGCTCGGTCACACGTTCACATGTTCTTGCCGATCGATTGTCAGTTCCCAAAACTGATTGTTCCTTTAGGCACGGAGCTCGAACGCGAAAACGGGAAAGAGAATACACACACACGATGCTGGCGGTGCGAAGGCACCCCGAAGACTGCTCCTACCTGCCGCTGCTGGGTACTGCTGGTGGAGCCACCTGGTGGCAGGTATCCGAGTCAAAATGGGCCTGTCCGCGGGGAACGGGCCCCGGATTCAGGAGAGAGAGCCGTGCCACAGCTGGCCCGCGCGATCGCCGGCCGTTTCGACGATGCGGGCCCGACCGCATGTCCGTGGGGCCGCACGATCTGACGTGGGCCGCTGCGGCTTGCGTGCCGCGACGGCGAGTGTACACTCGGGGACGCACGCGCGCGTGTGTGCGGGGGGAATCCGGAAACGTGAATTGTGATCGCGATCGCGATCGCTTTCGCGGGTCAACAGCTGTTTAACCCGCGTGTATTTCCTTCGCGAAACGCGCGCCTCTTTTGCATTCGGAGGACAAATATGCGGCGAACATTTTCATTTGTATATCATTAGAGATGAGATGAGATAGAGATGAGCACGGCTAAAAAGAGAGAGAGAGTAATGTGCCACATATATTAAAAAATGATTCGTGTAATAAACATCATTGATATAGATCAATGCATTCAATCTTGGTATTAAACTCATAGCCTATATCATAGTGCTTTTAGGCATTGGTTGATTATGAAAATTACAATATTTTTATATATACTACCTGAAAAGTATTGTACCTCTAAATATGTGTTTTAATATTCTTAATTTTATTCTTAATTTACATTTCAGATAATAGATACAAACGAATTCGAAGTATCAGCTATAAGTAGAATCATTTTCTTTTCTGAATAAAAATGATCACATTTTAAGCAAAATATGATGAACGAGATCACACGAAAAACAATCTGATGCTTTTCATGCTGTACTTTTTCTGTGTGTGTGGAAAATAATTTTTTTTAATCAACAAATTATGATCAATTTGTGAATATGTTTTATATATAAACTGATTTATTTTTATAACGGTTAACGTTTATAAATCAATTCTTGAACGCATCTTTTACATGAACAATGTTTATGAATTCCGAGAATGTATTATCAAATGTTTATGGAAGAAATTGGGTAGATCGTTCCATGCGTTTCCAAAAATTTTGAATCTAATATAAACGAACGGTCTGTGTATGCAGTTAACTTAAGTTTATAATATCCCAATGGACGTCGTGTGGAAATGAGGTAAAACTGAGTGAATAGTGATGCCGCGCCGAAAAAAAAGGCATCTCTCCCGCGGTACCGCGCCCGTGTGCCGCGGGTTCGTTCCGACTCGACTCAACTCGGACTCTCGGCAAAGCCGCAACAATTTACGACGGCAATTAATGCGCGCGAGTAAGCCGTGTATAGCGCCTATAGTTAGCTGCCTCTTCAGTGTCGGAGCGCACCGAAAGCGAGGGAGAAAGAGAGACATTCCGTACACGCGCTCTCGTGCGCGCACATGAGACAAGAAAAAAAGGGCGAGTAACCGGGCAAGAAGAAGAGAGAAGGAGAGGTAGGATGAGAAAGAGGGGGAGGGAGAGTACGATGGAGTACGATATAGAAGGAGAGGTCCCTCAAGGAAAGGCGAAAGAGAGACGATTGGAGTGGAAAAGGGTGCGGTAAGGGAAGGCGAGAGGAAAGAGAGGAAAAGAGAGCGAGAGAGAAAGAGAGAGAAAAGAGCGCGGTCAAGAGAGAAGAGAGGCGAACCGAGGCATCGGGCAGACTAAATAATATTATAGGTGGTGTTCTCACGGTCCCGGGACGCCCGCGGGCCAACTCGTCACCCCTCTCCCCGTACGGCCCCTCTCCCTCGCCTTATTCTCTCCTCCCGCTCTCTCCCTGGCCGCCTCTTACTCCCCCGCGCGTAAGCTTCGCCCACGCTGGGCCCTCACGGAGGGCCCCACGGAGTCGTTTGAGTCCCGCCGGTGGAACGGAGAGGATCCGACCAAACGATGCCGGACGCAGACGAGGACGCACGAAGGGGTCAGAGGTCACCTCGCGCTCGCTGACCGTCACCGTGGACGCGGTTCCTTCTCTCCTTCTCTCTCCGCTCCTCCCCCTTCTCTTTTTTCCTCCTCGGCGTCTCTACGTCGAAGAGGGCCCCCGCACTCTTTCCCCCCCCCCCCCCCCCGCGCGCGCGCGTTCATCTTTTACTCCCCTTTCGTAACTTCGATGCCCTCAAGTCCGACTTTCCTCCCGTTCCCTCCTCTCCCCTTCCTCCCTCTTCTCTTCCTCCTTTGCCCCCCTCGCGTCTTCACGTCTCGCTCTCTTCTCTCTTCGGTGAAGTCCTTCTCCGCGAAAGTTGACAGGCTCTACCCAGTTAATCAAGTAGCAAGTTAATTGCCCGGCTAGAGCATAATACACGGCCGCGATATATACGCGGCACTTTATTTGGACATGTTGACGTGTAACGCGCTGCTTTCCGAACCAAGTTCTATGTCAGGTAAAGCGGATACGTCACAACGATCTGCGCTCGTATCTCACGCCGTGTTTCATTGTGTTTCACCGTGTCACAACGTATTAACATGCGCGAGTCACAGCGTAGTAATGTCAACGCACTCACGATTGTACGTGCTTTCGAAACGACGAGTATCGAAGTAGAATCTTCTCACACGGCAAGCGTATCGAACGTTGCGTTGCCTCATCGTTGTCATGAAACTTTATGCTCGAAATTTTGACATCCGACATCGTCCTTCCGTGTAATCGTCCTTTCATCTAGTTGTCGAACATCATAGTAGACGTGAGATATTTATCATTATGAGATTATTCTTATATGTATCAAATTCAAAAGTTATTACGTTCCCACAGAGACTATAATAAGGACTTATCTGAAGAAATGAAATAAATACGTTTTAATTTTTTACTATAGAAAAAAATATCTGTTTTCTGCACATTCATGTGCTTAAAGAAGAACAGTGTAAGGCTATTGCATCCGCAGTCAAGCGTATTATTGCGAACAATTCGACAATGCTTAGAATCTATCAATCGATTTTATATGTCAGGAAATCTTCTCGTCTGTGCTCTTTAACTCCTGGAGGCAAAAGGTTATAAGTGCTGTTCAACGTCGATAAATAAAGTAACGCGGCGTGACATGAGAAATTCCTCGCGATCGGCGACCTGCGTTGAATCGAAAAGAAAGGGCCCGAATCACTGTCCTCGAGTCGATTCTAACGTGCTTAACACACTTAACGATGACACGAGCGAGGCACGTGTACGCGAGCATTGTGGAAAGTATTGTACTTCGAACGAGACAAAACTTATGAAATCGACAGTGCGCGTTCAATAATGAATATTATCTCTTTTTGAAATTGTCTTTAACTTTTCTAAATTGATATATTATTACGTTCTTAATAATATTTGAAACAAAATATTTTGGATCCCTTTTATTAAGAATGATATAAGTCAATTGCAATCATATCAACTGTAAAATTCACGGAAAATCATGAAATAACATAATTTGATTGTTCATATCTCTTTTCCCACATATTTTATACTTGTATGACGTAACAATCGTTGAAAAAAGCTGTTTCAAATGTGTGCCGTCTTAGCGGAACGATTCGGTTCTCTTCGGTTAGCAGGCACCATCCACCGCCATTCAATTTGCTCTTGTTTCCTCAATGCGGCGAAGCGCAGAGGGAGGCCGCGACATCCCGCCGCGTAGATAATTAGATCGCTACTAAGCACCTCCACTTTCACGCATCTTCACCTCCGCGATTGCGTACATCCCGGGCACTTGTTTCTCTCCTTGTTTTCCGCTTCTCATCCTCCTTGGATACGAGTTCTCGCCCCGTTTGTTTCTCTACATGCGCGTTCACGGCGTGATACAACCGGCCTTCCCCCCCTCGACGTGATAAAGGAAAGCACGCATCGTTACGTTTGACCATGCGATTGCAATAATCACTCTTTTTGCATAGTTTCTTCTCTCGTGCTCTGATTTCTCTTAAAAAACGATATTTATATAACTTTATTTGCTTATTTTGTACAATTATGTGCATTAAACTATTATATTGCTTAATTAATATATTAATATTGATTAACAAAGCGAAATTAATGTAAAATTCAACATAATGAAACAGATTAATTAAGTAGACAATATAATTGGTGTCTTTATCTTTTTTTTAGTTAATGCAAAAATCATTAGTTTCTTTGGAATGTTTCGTCCTAATCTATTTTACTTTTTATTTATACAGAAATTCTGTGATGATAAAGTTACCCTTTTTGATTAACATTAATATTCTTTTTATTTTATTGTTGAGCTTATGTCACGCAACCTTCTATATAATTAATTGCCTTATATATTATTTTTATAAATGTCATCTTGGAGTACGATGATAAATGCAGGTACAAAGAGAGGAACAACGTCTTCACTTTTACACATCGTCACCTACGAAGTCCCGCCTAAATCTTCACTGCATCTCCTCTCCCTTTCTTTTTCTGCTTATTCTCTTTTCTCGTTGCCCTTTTCTCTCCTTCGGCCGTTCGATTCTTTCTTTCTCTAACCGATTACACGCTCGTTGGTGCCGCGGTATCGCGAGACAGTCAGGACACAAAGAGGTGGAATGAACGAGAGGATCGGGACGATGAAGAGAGAACAGAGAGCACGGACGTCCGTGGACCCCCCGTCCGGGATCGCGAGATTGATTTGTCCAATTACGTTAAACAATCCCCGGGATAATTCGATCGCCTGGCATCCTGGGACCGTTCGCGAGGTCGCCCGGCTCTCAGCCAACTTTCTGCAATTTGTGAATGTAAATTCCCGTTCCCCCGATATACACGCATTACACGTCTCACGACGCGAAATTAGCGGATTCGTCGGCCAAACGAGCCTATACGAATTTATCGTGTTCCTCGCAGGCGCAGATCGTTAGCTATACGCTTTTGACTAATGAGCCCATCGTGCCTTTCTTGAAGTAGGAAAAAAAAGGGGGAACTCGCCAGTCAATAAGACAAATGTGTCACCTACGCTACGCGAATTCTACTTCTTTCCACATTAGACGTTAGACTCACGAATCTCGCGCCGGAAATCGGGCTATATAATTAACGAGAAG